GCTACCAGAGCTCTACAACCACTGTGGAAAGCAGTATGGTGCTTCCTTAGGAAGTTGAAAATAGAAATATCATATGATCCAGCAGTCCTACTACTAGGTATATATCCTAGAGAAATAAGAGCATGACACAAACACATATATTCACACCCATGTATACAGCAGCATTATTAACAATAGTAAAAAGATGGAAACAACCTAAGTACCTATCAATGAATGAATGAATAAACAAACTATGGTACTTACACAACATAGAATACTATGAAACATTAAATAATGATGAATAAGGATGAATCTGAAACACCTCATAACATGGATGAACCTAGAGGATATTATGTTGAGTGTAAGTAGTCAAACACAAAAAGAAATACTGTATTAGACCACTACTGTAAAAAAAAAAAAAAAAAAAAAAACTTAAGAAAAGATTTACACAGAGAAAGAATCATTCTCTGAAGGTTACCAGGGGTGAATGGGGAAAGGGGGAAAATCATCAACCAGAGAGCAGACATGTATTAACTTGGGTGAAGGGAAAGGCAGTGTGCAATAAGGGGGGCAGTCTCACAAGAGTTAAAGACAACAGCAGTGAATACTAGTACATACACATTCTGCAATAACAGTAGTAACAAACCACAGTGGATGCACAGATACACAGTTAGTCTGAACACGGGTGGGAAGGCAAACGGGACTACATCCACGAATATATACAGGTCTGACAGAAGATATCTCTACCTATATATTTATATGTGCTGCAACTGTATCCATGATGACATAATGAAACACCTTGAGGGAAAGTGGCTGGGCATGGAGTTTCAGGACCATAGTCTTGGGGAACACTAAAGTCAATTGGCATAACATAGTCTATCACTATGTTCTATATCTTTGGTGACTAGCGACTGGGATCTTAAAAGCTTGTGAGTGGCCAGCTCAGGTGCAACTATTGGTCTGTTCCCACCTGGAGAAAAGAAGAGTAAAGAAAATAAGAGATGCAAGGAAATAACGCCAAGGACTTATGGTCCATGTGAAGCCCAGTCTCCACGATCCTGAAACAAGAAGAACAAGACAGCTATACTTTTAGAAGCCATTCATAACTTCTTTAAATATGGCAAAGCATGAGGTCTCACTGACTTCCTCTTGTCCATTCATATTTCTGACCATAAAGTATCTCTGCAAGTGATGCCAGGCAGCAAACTGAAGAAAATCTTAATACACATGTATACTTTGTAAACCAAAATTTACTGCCATCAAAATTCCGACTCATAACAACCCTTTAGGACAGAGTAGAGCTGCCCCAAAGGGTTTCCAAGGCTGTAAATCTTTATGAAAGTAGACTGACTCATCTTTGTCCCATGGAGCAACTATTGGGTTTGAACTGTTGAATTGTTCCATCAATTCCTAGAGCCTTGTTTTACACCAATGTGTCCAATGCAGCTTGAACTTCTTCCTTCAGTACCCTTGGTTCTTGATCATATGCTATCTCCTTGTGGTAGTTTAGCTTGCATGTCAGCTTGGCTGGGCCTGGTTGAGTGGCTGGGCAGCTGGATGTAGTTATTCCCATGGTGAGATTGGTGATTAATTCCATGGTGGAATCTATTGGAGCAGCTAAGTAGCTCTTTTAGGGGTATGGTCTGCTTCCAGTATATAAGAAGCAGTTTTGAGGATGGTCTCTAGCTTTTTGGCACACTGGAACCCTGAATGTAGCCAAGTCTTCATTCAGTAGCCTGCCATGCTTTGCCAATCTTGGGACTTTCAATGGACTTGAATCAATGGCCTGCTGTGTGGTTTGGTAATATTGGGACTGTGCCTTTTCACTTGTCAACCTTGGGTTTGTCAGCCTCAGCAGCCAGCTGCGGTCTTAGTGAAGAGATGCCTCTAGCTTCAGTGGGCCGGGAGCAAGAGGCCGAGCTGAAGCCGAAGTTCAAGGGGCTTTCACCCAGCCCCTAGAGCCCGACACTTTGACTCGGACTTAAAGCCTCCAAACTGTAATAGAACAAACTCCTGTTTGTTACAGCCATCCTATTTGTGGCATATTTCTGTTAGAGTGGGACTAGGTTTCAGAAACACTCTGAAATGGTTGAATGGCCAACTTTTTTTTTTTTTTTTTTGATACAGTGACTGTGTATTTCCTTCTACTTTCCTTTGGTGCTCCTTAAATCATTCAATATTTTGCCCATAAAATCCATTAGTATTACAACTCCAGCCTTGATTTTTTTTTTCTTTAGCTCTTTCAGTTTTAGAAATAAGAAGCATATTCTTCACTTTAGGAGCTCTGGTAGCATAGTGTCTAAGGCACTGATTGCTAACCAGAAGGCTGGCGGTTCAAACCCACCAGCCACTCCTCTGAAGGAAGATGGGGCAATCTACATCCGTAATGATACTGCCTCAGCAACCCAAGGAGGGGTCACTATGAGTCGGGTCTGACTCTACGGCACATAACAACAACAACAACATTCTTCACTTTGCTTTTCTAACTCTAGTTCTTTGCACATTTCATTATCACACTTTTATGTTGTCTTCTCGAGGTGCCCTTTGAAATCTTCTGTTCAGCTTTTTTACTTCATCATTTCTTCCATTTGCTTTAACCACTTTATGTTCAAAAGCAAGTTTCAGAGTCTCTTCTGACATTCATTTTCATCTTTTCTCTCTTCCTTTTCTTTTTAATGACCTTTTGCTTATTTCTTACATGATATCCTTGATGTGTTCCAACAACTTGTCTGGTCTTCTGTCATTGTTTAATGCATCAAATCTATTCTTCAGATGGTCTCTAAGTTCAGATAGAGTATAATCAAGGTCGCATTTTGGCTCTCATGGACTTGTTTTAATTTTCTTCAGCTTCAACTTGAACTTGTAAAGGAACCATTGATGGTCTATTCCATATTCAGTCCTTGGCCTTGTTCTGTCTGACAGATACTGAGCTTATCCATCACCTCTTTCCCCAGATGTCATCCATTTAATTCCTGTGGATTCCATCTGGGGAGGTCTGTGTGTATAGTCACCATTTATGTTGTTGAAGAAAGGTATTTACAATGATTAAGTCATTGGTCTTGCAAAATCCTATCTCCAATCTCCAGTGTTGTTTCTATCACCAAGTCCATTTTCCTACTACTGATCCTTCTTGTTTCCAATTTTCACATTTCTATCACCAACAATTATCAATTCATCTTGATTGCATGTTTAATTTCAGACTGTAGATGTTAGTGAAAGTCTTCAATTTCTACACCATTGGCTTTAGTGGTTGGTGCACAAATTTGAATAATAGTCATATTAACTGACCATCCTTGTATGTGTATGGATATTATCCTATTACTGACAGCATTGTGCTTTCAGCATAGATCTTGAAATGTTCTTTTGAAGATGAATGGTTAGCCATTCCTCTTCAATTTGTCATTCCCAGCATAGCAGACCATATGATTATGTGATTCTGAATAGCCAGTGTCAGTCCATTTTAGCTCACTAATGCCTAGGATATTGATCTTTATGCATTCCATTTAATTTTTTTTAATTTCCAATTTTCCTAGATTCATATTTTATACATTCTATGTTCTGATTATTAACGGCTGTTTGCAGCTGTTTCTTCTCCTTTTGAGTCATGCCAAATCAGTAAATGAAAGTCTCAGACGTTTTACTCCATCAACATCATTAATTGAGGAGGCAGCTCTTCCCCGGGTGTATTTTTGAGTGCCTTCCAACCTGAAGGGCTCATCTTCTGGCACTGTATCAGACAATGTTCTCCTGCTATTCATAAAGTTTTCAGCAGCCAATTTTTTCAGAAGTAGACTGACACATCCTTCTTCCTAGTCTGTCTTAGTCTGGAAGCTCCGCTGAAACCTGTTCACCATGGGTGACCCTGCTGGTATTTGAAATACCAGTGGCAATAGCATCCAGCATGATAGCCACACACAAGCAATCACAATACAAGAAATTGACAGATCATCTAAACAAGCTAAATGGTAAATACAAACAAATGTAATCAACTTAAAGAATGTCTCCATTTCTATGTCACTTCTATGTGACTGTAGGGCACACAAATCTGTCCCAAAAGAGAGCCCTGATATGAACACCTATTACTAACTTCTTCAAGTTTGACCAGGAGGATTACACAAATCCATTAACAAAAAGGTTCTGGATTCTTTTATGGAAAAAGAAAGTGGGCCCTAGAAGCAGAAACTCAGCTTGCTGTTACATTTTAAAGTATATTGTACATTAGCTTTGGAGTCATTTCTTCAATAATAATAACCAAAAAAGTTAATAATAATTAGGAGGGACTACCAAAACAACAATATCTAAATTTTTGTATTAGGGAGATTTGGTGATGCTGTCATTAAAGCATTGGGCTGCTAACCAAAAGTTTGTGGTTTGAAGCCACCAGCCTCTCCACAGGAGAAAAATGAGGCAGTTTGCTTCCATAAAGATTTACAGCCTTGGGAACTGTATGGGACAGTTCTACTCTGTCCTGTAAGGTTGCTACAAGTCACAATCAACTTGATGGCACTGGGTTTATATTTTTATATTGGGAGATAGAAAATAAAACAGCCCCTATACCAGACCCTGGGAGCTCTGGTGGCATAGTACCTAAGGCATTTGACTGCTAACCAGAAAGCTGGTGGTTCAAACTCACCAGCAACTCCTCAGTAGGAAGACTGGGCAATCTACTTCCATAGTGATATCACCTTGGAAACCCAAGGAGGGGTCACTATGAGTCAGATCTGACTCGGCGGCAGTGAGTTTGGTTTTTGGTTGGTTATACCAGACCCTATTCAGTGGCAGCTTCTTGGGTTAAGGAAGACTTTGAGGAAATAAAAGTTGCTGGAAAAGTCAAGATGTAGTTGCTTTTTATGTTGTGATGGGTAGAAAGGATGAAGTGAAACTGAAGTCTCTTCACACCCTTCATTTATCATCAGACCATGTCCTGGAACCATAAGGCAGATAAAGTGCCACTCCTATCCCTGCCTCTTGGGATTGCTGACAGCCACACAATGATTGAGAATGACAACCAAGAAGAAAGACATGCCCAGCTTGTTGGTGAAGATGGTGAGCTGCATGTCTAGGATCATCCTGATCAGTGCTGCTCAGCTCCCTCTTTAACAAAATGTGATGAGTTCCACCTACTGAGAAATACACAGTTACAAGCACTACACACACATCAAATACTATTCCACACATTGCAAAGAAAAAAAATGTTCAATTTTGCCAGCATTGAGTGCAAATGCCACAAATTAATCCAGAGAAATATCAGCTTGAGGTGTTTTCATATTTCATTTTTCAGATCTATTATGTGCCAATGACATTTGAAAATATAAAATATCTGGTAGCGGAGTTCAGAAAACACTCCTAGATTAAGATGCATACTGAAATATTTCACCTTTGTAAGATACTGAACAAAGAAATCATTACTCACAGCCATTATAAAATAATTTAGAAAACTCCACTTAGTAATTTCCCCTGCTGCTGTCTGTAAAGTCAGATGGACTTATTTCCAAATAAAAAATAGCTCAGGGAAATAACCCTTCGATATAATCTTACTGAAAATGAGGTAGTTTCCTGTATCACTTAAGGACATAAGAATTGACCAATATCAAACATAATAAAATTTCATTACTAATTAAGTCTATGATAGAAAAGGAATATCATTATACTCATTGCAGTTTGATTTTTCAAATGTTGCTAATGGCTATTTTGGGCTATCTTGTTAACTTACCTCAATTTTTCTGCATTCACGTCTCTAACACAAGTATCGATAAAAGTTCTTAGAACAGATGGGTGGCAAATACCGTTCATATATAACATGTTCATTGACACAAAAAGCTGAGGACCAAATGGCCAACAGTAGACAATAGAATTAACTCTTATGCCAACATGCAAAAGAAAATAGACTCTGGGGGCTTACAGTAAGTAGCTCTGCCCCGCAGCTCAGGAAGCGGTCCGCTGCCACGCCTCCTCCCTCAAGCTGCCTTTCTCCCGCGGGCGGGGTCGTGCCAGAACCAGCCGCGGGCGGGCGGAGCCTGCCCACTGCTCTAGGCCAGACACCTTCTCCCGCATGATTTCGCCCTCAAGACCGGAAACGACCTCATGCTTGTCGTATTTTCAATGAAGAATGGCTTTCAGTTACTTTGTAACCAACCGTGAGGTCCCAGCAGCTGGCTTAAAAGACAGTAAAAAGTGCGCTCATTTTACAGTCTATTTCTAATGATGTTTTACCAAGTCTGATTGTAGAGGATTGGATCCATGACCAAATAAATCGAGAAGGAAATCATATTCTTGTCTTCTGGAGAAAGTCTCCCTCTTTTGTAATTGGTAGCCATCAGAATCACTGGCATGACTGTACCCTGAATCTGATGAGAGAAGGGATAAAACTAGCTAGCAAAAGTGAGGCAAGGACAGTCTACCATGATACGAGTAATATCAATTTGATTTTCTTTATAACTAAAAGCAAGTATAATAGGATGGAAAGTCTGAAATTAATGTGCGAGCACTGAATACATTACAACCCCAGCTGGATGTGCAGGCTGTCAAAAGATTTGATCTTTTACTCGATGGATGGTTTAAAATCTCAGGAACTGCTTCCAAGATTGGCCTGACTAAGGCTTATGACCATTTCACTTTATTATATAGTATTGATGAGAGTTTCTTGTTTTCTTTGCTGAAGAGTCCTTACCAAGGAATCATGAGAAGTGCCACCGCTAGCACACCTTCCTTAGTGGGAAAAAAAAAAAAAAAAACTTTTGGGAAAAGATCCCACTCTGTCCTGTCAAATACTTGTTGTTATGTGCTGTCGAGTCAGACCCGACTCATAGCGAGCCCTTATTGGGTTGCGGAGGCAGTATCACTACGGAAATAGATTGCCCAACCTTCCTTCCGAGGAGTGGCTGGTGGGTTTGAACCACCAGCCTTCTGGTTAGCAGTCAAGTGCCTTAGGCACTATACTACCAGAGTTCCTTGTCAAGTACTAATGAATGCTATTTCTGCTTATCATAGGATTGATGATCACATCAACCTAATAAACCTAGCCCATGAGACACTGTTCCCTGGAACAAACAGCAAACTTCTTGTTGTTGTTATGTGCCCTCAGTCAGACTCATAGCAACCCCTCTTGGGTTTCCTAGGCACTATCACTACGGAAGTAGATTGCCCGACCTTTCTTCCGAGGCGTGGCTGGTGGGTTTGAACCTCCAGCCTTCTGGTTAGCAGTCAAATGCCTTAGGCACTATGCCACCAGAGCTCCCTATGAACCCCTAAACATGAGCCACAGGGTAGAATGTAGCAACATGCAAATCAAGGGCAAGCAAAACTATCAGCTCTGGAGAAGAACGGCCAAATAGCAAATCAAATACATGGGTGAAGTCAACTATCAGAAACAGGCACAGTCATTAAGAACAGGTTGTTGTTATGTGCCGTCAAGTCAGACCGAGTCATAGCAACCCCTCCTTGGGTTTCCAAGGCGATATCACGGAAGCAGATCGCCCCATCTTCCTTCCGAGGAGTGGCTGGTGGGTTTGAACCACCAGCCTTCTTGTTAGCAGTCAAATGCTTTAGGCACTATGCTACCTCAGCATAGGCTTTAGAATTAGATAGACCTTTGGTTTGAATCCTATCTCCACTATTGATTGTTACTTTGGGAAAGTTACTTCACCAATTTAAACCTCTATTTCCTTATCTGTAAAATGATAATAAAGTACCTGCATTATAAGAATTAAATGATGTAATGGATATAACTTACTTCTGTGTCTGTTACATAGTTAAAACAAATGTATTTTTTAGTATGTGCAAGGCAATGGAAGATGTAGCAGCTCTATAAAGTTTACATATAGCTCAACATACTTTAATAGCTAATGTTTATCATCATCACCATCAAGCCATGAGGCAAAAGTTAGATTAAGGAGTCAAAGTCAAGATGAAGTGAGATACTAGTGTTCATGACTACAGCCAAAGTCTGAATACCTACAGTAAACAAAATAACCAGAACGGAGGTTCAAGGGGGAAGTTTTAAGTGATCCAACTATATTGCAAGAATGAAGCTACTTTAAAAGAACCAAATGCATGCCTTCCTGGTTGTGTTCCAAAGTATTTTAATAGCACCACTGGATTTACTGAGTGCCCACTGTGTAAAAAGCACAATTTTGAACCCTATAGGAGCTCTGGTAGCATAGTGGCTAAGGCACCTGACTGCTAACCAGAAGGCTGGCGGTTCAAACCCACCAGCCACTCCTCGGAAGGAAGATGGGCAATCTACTTTCATAGTGATACTGCCTTGGAAACCCAAGGAGGGGTCACTATGAGTCGGGTCTGACTTGACAGCACATAACAACAACAACAACATATTGTGATGTGTGTGAAAATTTAAAGAGAAAATTCACTTCCCATACAGCAGTTTACATACACTTTGTCTCACAATTCACCATAATGCAACAGCTCCCCTCATACTTCCTCCTGATAGTTACCTCTTCCCAGTGTCTATCCCTCCATGCACTCCTGCCCCCTGCGCTGTCTCACTGTGCATAAGCAGCCTTTCTTTCTCCCATGATTGTTCTCTCCAAGGAGTGTACCTACCTAAGGTAAATGTTCAACTCATATGCCTATAATAGACATATGTGGCTGGAAGCCACAGGCATGGGTTCAATTTCAGACCTGAAGCGCAGCTAGGGACCATAGTCTCAGTGGTTCCACCAGGCTCTATCGGACCAGCAAACCTGGTCCCCCCTTTTTTTTTCTCCAAATGATTTTTAGTTTTGTTCTACATTGTTCTCCCTCTCTATCAAGATCTCCTACATAGATCCCCTTCCATGTGGTTGACAGTAGTAGCCAGGCACCATCTTGTTCTTCTGGTCTCAGAGTTGTATAGTTTGCAGATCGGATGGTGTACCAGTCGCTAGGACTAATTGTTTCCATGAATTTTTGGTTTTCTTCCTTCTTCTTTGCTCTGGATGAAGAGAGACCCATCTTTGCATCTAGATGGCAGCTTGCAAGCTTTTAAGATCCCAGTCGCTACTCGCCAAAGTAGGAGGTGGAACAATGTTTTGTGTAGTATGTTATGCCAATTGAGCTTGATGCCCCCTGCAACCTGGACCATATATATTTTTAAGAACAAAGTAATGCAAAACAATGTTCTGGCTCTTAAAAGATAGATAGTTAGGAGAATAAAGTATATTAAAAAAAATCCTCTAATCTTTTTAGTGGCTAGAAACAAAAAGAACATATTTTGACCATAAATCTGCAGTCTGAACAAGGCTAGCAGAAAACAGCTCATTTCTTTTCTACTCAATATTGGTTGGGTTAAATGCATGGTGTTGGTTCACTCACTCACACATCAGGCATCTGGGCTGGGAAGGTACAAAAGGCTGGGGACTGGAAAAGTTGAGGCTCTCAGGCATCTTACTCTCTATTTCTATGTTGTTTTACTGCATAGTACCTGAAATATGGAGGTTTTAGGATAGCCAGACTTTTAAAATGTCAACTCAGGACATCAAAGGCACATGTCCTAAGAGAAAGCACTAGGCAAAAACTGTATCACATTTTATGACATAGCCATAGAAATCATTCAACATCACTTCCAACATTTTCTATTGGTTAGAAGTTACTAGAATGTGCATATTCAAGGAAAGCACAATTAGGCTCCATCTTTTGTGAAAGCAGTGTCAGTGAAATTACAAACATATCCTCTGGCCACAAATTATTTGCATTCCTTCCACATCCAAAATATACTTTCCCAAGACACCCCCCACAGCTGCAAGTCTCACCTATTAGGGCATCAGGCTGAGGTTAAAAGTCCAAGATCTCATCCAAATGTGGATGAGACCCCTGAGATGCCATTAATTAAGCACAGTTCAAGGAGCTCTGGTGGCATAGTGAGTAAGGCATTTGGGTACTAATCAGAAGGTGAGAGGTTGAAACCCACCAGCTGCTCCATGGGAGAAAGAAGGGCAATCTATCTCCATAAAGATTTATAGTCTTGGAAACCCAATGGGGGTCTCTATGAGTCAGAATTGACTTGACGGCAGTGAGTTTGGTTTTTGGTTTGGCTCCTCAAATACAGCAACTTCCAAAGTTATACAAAAGACCTGGTGAACTAAAGAAACATGTTACACATCTGCATGTCACATCTGCAATTGTGGAAAAGTCATAGGATAATCAATACAGATTTTCCCACTGAAAAGAGGCAAACAAGTCATTAGCCCATGAAAATTTGGAAATCCATCCAAACTGATGGATCCAGATAGATGGTTCCTTGATTCAATTATCATGCCTGGGAGTGATTCTCCATAGATCTTAGTTCCACCATCTGAGTTATCTTTTCCATAAAAAATTGCTGATGTTTGAAGCTAAGTAGTTTTCTCAGCCTACTTCCTGCCAGCAGTAGTTCAGGAGTCCAAAGGCCTTATTTCATTCTATATTGTCTGTTTTAGTCCAAGCTGGCAGTATTTCTACAAATTTCTACATTTCTCTTAAAATAGTGTCGGTCTCCTAAGGTTTAGCCCATTAGATAAAAGCCACACTCAAAAAATTCATCAAGATAAACCTGTGAAAGGAAAATACCTTTAACATTCTTAAAAGCCATATTGTTTAGTGGAGACAATCTGCAAGCCATGCCCTTTAAGATCCTTTATCTGTTACGAGCACCACCTCAAATTTCTGAGGTCTATACAGAGGGTTGTACAGTCACATCTTTAGCATCATATTTTCCTGACTGTGTCTCCTGTATTTGCTCTTTACCCAAATGTCTTCTCTTAATTTTAGAATCATGTGGCTTGGGAGCTCTGGTAGCATAGTGCCTATAAGGTACTTGACTGCTAACCAGAAGGCTGGCAGTTCAAACCCACCAGCCACTCCTCAGAAGGAAGATGGGGCAATCTACTTCCGTAGAGATACTGCCTCGGAAACCCAAGGAGGGGTCGCTATGAGTCTGGTCCGACTTGACGGCACAAAACAACAACAACAACATGGCTTGGGAAAAGGATGGAATGAGAAATAGTTTGATTTCGGATCCCAGCAAGTCCTGGCTCACTTATATACAAAGTTCTTTGTTTTTGCTTAAGACTCACACCTTGCCTTATACTTTAGGCAGTTGGAAACAGCCACATGGCATATTCACCACTCTCCTTGAAAATGTCATCAGTTAATCCTCCAATCCATTGGATACATTTTGCACTTCCCACATTAATGCAGGTGACAGTGTTGCTTAACTTTCAGGCACTACATAATAAATGTCCCCCTTCTCCCAACTTCCAATAATATATTTTTCAGTTTCCTTTGAGCTTCTCTGACAGCTTTAGAAAGCTACATTTACTTCAGTTGCTTTTTATTTTTCAAGTGGTTTCACCAAGAGAAAACCTAAACCTGTATGTATTTTGAGAAGTATGGTACAATCTATTAGATAAGAGATACCTTTTTCTTTTGTAATCTGTTTCCTTTCCAAATATATTTATCTACTTTAAGGACCTTATCTAGTTCCAAGATTTACGGTCACTGTATTTAAAAAAAAAAAAAAAAAAAAGTCCTGATAGTCTTCTTCACCTTACTGAGCTTAAATACCATATTATGGCACTGATAAAAATAGAACTAGCTGTAGGGTTTTGTAATAAATTTGCTTTCAGTTTTGCTAGACTTTGATTAATATTTGGAGAAAATCAATTTATTTGATATTGGAGATCAAGCCAAGATTCACAGCTTAATCTTATTCTAATTTCACCAGTATAGAGTCTTCTTTTTCCATGTATCAGTCTTCAATGTTTTAATAAATCAGATTCTTGTAAAATAATCCACAGTGGAATACATTTTATGTAACATATATGAGCATGAAAATCTGGCCTTTTGAAAACCTACGAATGTACATCAGGTAATTTTATTTTCATTATATGAGATGATTACATAGGAGCTCTGGTGGCGTCGTGGATAATGCACTTGACTGCTAACTGGAAGGTCAGAGGTTCAAACCTACCAGCTGCTCCATGGAAGAAAGATGGGGCAATCTACTTCTGTAAAGATTTATAGCCTTGGAACCCAATGGGGGTCACTATGAGTTGGAAACGACTTGATGGCAGTGAGTTTCTTTTTGGTTTTTTGAGATGATTACTATAAGAAAATTACTTAAGGGCTCACTGTGCTCTTTGAGGTAGCAAAAGTAACAGCATAAAACTAACTAAAAATCTGAAGATTGCTACTGTTTATATGTTAGCTGTTGGTGTTTCTAAATTGTTATGCTTCAAATCACCTCTGCAACACAAACTATTTTGTGATGTGTGCATGGGAAAATACAATATCTAACAGCTCTGGTGGCGCAGTGCCTAAGGTACTTGACTGCTAACCAGAAGGCTGGTAGTTCACACCCACCAGCCACTCCTCAGAAGGAAGGTTGGGCAATCTACTTCCATAGTGATACCGCCTCAGAAACCCAAGGAGGGATCACTATGAGTCAGGGCCGACTCGAGGGCACAAAACAATAACAACAACGACAGAAATCCCTAACAATTTTAGTTTTGGCTCAGTTAGGTATCAGGATGCCTCGCTGTGCACTTTGTAACATCCATGCAAATGTCAATTTTAGGGTATCAACATTTAAAATCTTCTTGATATAAAAAATAAATGTGTTGGAAACAAAGCCTATATTTTACAAAAGAGGAATCTTCATATAATATTTATAAAAAGAATCTTAATATTAAAATTAGTGAAATCTTTTTTTTCAAATTTTGAAAAATTCTTTTATAAAAACATTAAAATATATTTGATCCTGAAGAGGATATTCCTCTAAATTGATATAAGCATCAACAAAATAATTTCATCCAAACAGAAAATAAATTTTACCTAAAAATTAATGCTACAAAATTTTAATGTGGGTATAATATTATAAAGTAGCTTACAAAATTTATTTTATATTATTTAGTATTACTTTTTTCCTTAAAATCTTGGAAGAACATTTTTGCTAGAAAATGCAACTGTGCAAATTTTAAAATAAATGCAGCAAGGAAGCAAACAAACATATTTTTAATCCACAAGAATAAAATAATGAATAATCACCGTAAGAATGATAGATGATAAAATTACATATATATAATTCTCTAAAAGCTTGAAGATACACTAAAGTTATTAAACAAATATCTATGTAAAAAATTAAACACATAAAGTAATATTAAATCACTTTAGAATAAACCATAAATTTATCCTCTCAATTGTTTCACCTTGTGCATAGCTACAATTTTCTCATTTCTTATTGGGTTAATGAAATTCTAAACTAATATTATTGCCTTCCCAAGTCAAATGAAATGCTAAAATCCCAGGCTGAGATCTGAGATATTAGTTGTTCTCAAGGATGTCCTGCCCTCCAGTGGTATCTGCCTTAATATTTTTGCTGCAGCTTTCAACACTGCAAAGAGAAGACATATCACTTCTACATTTACATTTTGAAATTATTTCACACTGTATGGCAGCATCTAATTTTTCTTCTAGTGCATATTCACTCTCGGTTTGTACCCATGCATCACATTTTGCAAATTGCAGAAGGTAGTTACTATTAGTTTTGTTTTGGAATATGTATGCTGAGTTACACTGAGACTGTGGAAACTGAATTCTATTATTTTTCATCAAGAACTGGTGAGAATTCTCATTCTGTTTATGAATTTTGGCAGTGTTTTTAACAATCTTATCATCTGGAAGTCTTGACATCCTGTTTATATAAACATTATTATTTCTTTCTTTGGTTTTAATGAATCTTCTCTTTGACTCTTCATGTTGCTGTAATACTTGATCTTCATCTTCAGATGGCTAAAAGCAATTTAATAATTTTGCTGTAAATAATGCTTAAATATTTTTAAGCATTTAAAAAATTATTTTAAAAGTTCCACTTAATCACTTTAAAGCAAACATTCTTTAAAAGCATACTAGAAAATTTTTAAATACAGAAAAGATAATGATAAGTCAAAGCAGGCATACTGTCAAAGAATCTTCAAACTATAAGTTATGGCCTCCTAAAAAGTTACATATTTTTACCAACTAGAATAATAATAATTTTTATTCTACAAATTCAAAAGTGATTAAAAAATATTTTTTTCTTAGGAGCTCTGGTAGTGTAGTGCCTAAGGCACCTGACTGCTAACCAGAAGGCTGGCAGTTCAAACCCACCAGCCACTCCTCGGAAAGATGGTTGGGCAATCTACTTCAGTAGTGATACCGCCTCAGAAACCCAAGGAAGGGTCATTGTGAGTTGGGTCCAACTTGACGGCACGTAACAACAACAACGATTGTAGACTATATCATCCTCTTACACTTTCACACAGAAAAGATACGCAACACACTCTTCACTATTTTAGAAGAGTGAAATAGAAGTATAGTAATACCTTTGAAAGGGGCAGCTAACACAAGTAACGTGTTCTATTATACAGTCATTGACCCACTCAGTCAAAAAAATACCTATTATATATTTTTTACGAGCACAGTCTTCTGAAAGATATATAACATATAAATGCTTAAGGAGATTATTAGCTACTAGAAAATCAAAAAGACAAAAAAAAAAGTTGAATAGCAATAAATATGTAAACTGTTATCTAAAAAGTCAAACTTTAAGAAGTTAACAGGTCTAGATTCCAGTTTGCTAGCTTGAATCTTTCAACCTCATGAAAAACTTATCTGAACTACCCAAAATATTCTTTTTATGAAAATCATACATAAAAGTACTGACTATTCAAGTTAATAGAAAGCAAAATATACAAAACTTAAAAGACCAAAGTTCATTGGCACTGAAATAGCAAAAGTAAGTCCAAGAAACAGCACTAAAGCTGGCTGGGCACAAATTGGAGAAAGCAAGCTCAATGTATTTATTTACTCAAGAGATAAATAGTCATTGAGTATCTGCAATGTGAGTAAAACAGACACAGTTACTGTCTTAGAGCACACATTCTAATGGAGGTAAATGACATTAATTAAATAATCATACACATACATTTACAATTATAAATTGAGAAGAGTGTTATAAAGAAATAGTATGAGGCACTTTTGATAGCATGACACCAAACCAAACGCATTGCTGTCAAGTCAATTCCTACTCATAGTGACCCTGCAAGACAGAGTGTAACTGTCCCATAGGGTTTCCAAGGCAATAAATCAGACTGCTGGATCTTTCTCCTATGAAGCAAGTTAGTAGGCTCCAATATCTGACCTTCCAGTGAGTAGCCAAGCACTTTAACCACTGCACCACCAGGGATCCTTTGACAGCATAACAAACTCATTACTGTTCAGTCGAATCCGACTCATAGTGATCCCTCCTTGGGTTTCCAAGGTGGTATCTCTACAGAAGTTGATTGCCCAGTCTTCATTCTGAGGAGTGGCTAGTGTGTTTGAACCACTAGCCTTCTGGTTAGCAATCAAATGCCTTAGGCACTAAACCACCACAGCTCCTTGACAGCATAACAGAGGGGCCTAATTTAGACTGAGGAGTCAGAGAGGGACTTTTTGAAGACACAACAAAATTCAAACTGAGACTTAAAGGATAATAAGAGTAAAATCAAAACCAAACCAAACCTACCGACACTAAGTCAATTCTGACTCATAGCAACACTCATTGGGTTTCCAAATCTTTATGGAAGTAGATTGCCCTGTCTTCCTTCTACAGAGTAGCTGGTGAGTTTGAACCGCTAACCTTCTGGTTAGCAGTCAAATGCCTTAGGCACTATGCCACCAGCGCTCCTTAATTACCGTAAGGTATAGTAAAAATATTCCAGGAAGAGGAAACAGTGTATAAAAGACCTGAAAAGCAGAAAAAAGACTGACACACCAAGGAAAGTGAACTGTCAGTATGTGTGTAGCATGATGAGAAAAGGAGAATGGTACTAGAAGAAATCAGAGATGTAGCCAGGGGTCAAATTACACAGCTCTGTAGGCCATAGTAAGGATTTTTGATTCTAAAGCAACATAAGAATCCACTGAATAGTTATACATGGGAGTAATGTGATTCAATTTATGTTTTCAAAAGATCATGATGACTGCTAACTAGAGAACAAAGAGAAACAAGAGTGGAAGTACAGAGCTCTCTTATGAAACAAGCACAATAGTTGAAGAATAAGATGATGTTACTTTAGACTTGGGTACTGGCACCAGAGATTGAAAGAAGCAGATAAATTTGCAATTTATATTGGAGGTAGATGTGATATTTAGAGTTATGTGTCAACTTGGCTGGGCCTGGTTGAGTGGCTGGGCAGCTGGATATAGTATTCCCCATAATGAGACTGGTAATCAACTCTGTGGTAGTTACGTTTGTGAGTCAACTTGACTGGGCCTGGTTGAGTGGCTGGGCAACTGGTGGTTGTTATTCCCCATGATGAGACTGGCAATCAACTCCACAGTAGGCTCTACCACAAGCAGCTGAGTAGCTGCCTTTGGGATGTGGTCTGCTTCCTGTATATAAGGAGAAGCCTTTGGAATGGTCTCTAGTTTATGGCACCTTGAACCCTTCATGTAGCCATGTCATTGTTTGACAGCCTGCCATGCTCTGCCGACCTTGGGACTTACAATGGACTTAAATTAATGGCCTGCTGTGTGATTTGGTAATATTGGGACTGTGCCTTGTTACTTGTCAACCTTGGGCTTGGCAGCCTCAGTAATTAGCAGCTGTCTGAGTGAAGAAAAGCATCTAGCTTCAGTGAGCTGGGAGCTGGAGGCAGAGCTGAAGCTCAAGGCTGAGGGGCTTTCACCCAGACCCTAGAGCTTGGCACTTTGAACTTGGACTTAAAGCTTCCAAATTGTAAGAATAAACTGCTATTTGTTAAGGCCATCCCATTTGTGGTATATATTCTTGTCAGAGCAGCACTAGGTAACCAGAACAAAATACAGTATCGAGAGAGTGGGGTACTGCTCTGACAGATGCCTAAAATGGGGAAACAGGAGTGGAGTATGTCCTTCACCCGAGACCCTGGCAGAGAGACCCTGGCATATGGCATGACAGATGGCAGGAGCAGAGCAAGAGACCGGCATGAGAGACAGCAGGAGCAGAGCTGAGAACCAGCATGAGACAGCAACAGCCTTACCAGCTCACGGAGGAGAAAGCTTGATGCCTTTGGTTAGGTGGCTTCCTGGTGGAGTGGGTTCCCCTCGGGCATTAATTGGCAGAAGCGGAGACCAAGGAAATGGAAGCAGAGCTGCCTCAGCCTGAAAGGGTAGGATCATGGCCTTTGGGGGTGGAACGATCAGCCCCCTAGGTTTCAAAGAGCCAGGCCTTCACCAACTTGGTTCTGGAGTGTGGGGCTGCTCATTCATGTGAGCCAGTGGGATGGAGCCATAGCCACTGCCCAAGAGTGAGGGGGAGGGGATGCCATGCCCAAGAGGGAGAGGAATGGGGGCCTGGTCTCCACTTAGAGGAACTAGGGGACTGGAGCCACCCAGTGGAGGAGATTTGTACAGATGCCACCCAATGAAGCTCTCTACAGATGCCAAGCTGACAGGGGTGGAATTGTGGTAGTTAAGTTTGTGTGTCAACTTGACTAGGCCTGATTGAGTGGCTGGGCAACTGGTGGCAGTTATTTCCCATGACGAGACTGGCAATCAATTCCGGGGTGGGATCTACCACAAGCAGCTGAGTAGCTGCCTTTGGGATGTGGTCTGTTTCCTGTATATATGGAGAAGCCTTGGGAATGGTCTCTAGTTTATGGCACCTTGAGCACTGCATGTAGCCATGTCATTGTTTAACAGCCTGCCATGCTCTGCTGACCCTGGGACTTAAAAATGGACTTAAATTAATGGCCTGCTGTGTGATTTGGTAATACTGTAAATATGGTAAACTCCATGGTGGAATCTACTGTGAATAGCTGAGTAACTGCCTTAGGACTGTGGTCTGCTCCCAGTATATAAGAAGAAGCTTTAAGGAAAGTCTCTAGCTTTTGGCATGCTTGAATTCTGTGTGTAGTCGAGTAGTAATTCAGCAGCCTGCCATGTTGTCTACCAATCTTGGGAGTCTTAATGGACTTGAACCAGTTGCTTGCCATGGGCTTTGGAACAAGAGGCAGAGCTGAAGCCCAAGGTCGAGGGGCTTTTACCCAGCCCCTAAAGACTGGCACTTTGGACTCAGACTTCTAGCCTCCAAAACTGTAAGAAAATACCTGTTTGTTAAGACCACGCATTTGTGGTATTCCCTGTTAGAGTGGCAGGAAGTAACCAAAACAGAATATGGTACCAAGACAGGAGGATGCTATTCTGACAGATACCTAAAATACTGAAACAGGAATGGAGTACATATTTGACCCAAAACCTGGCATGAGAGATGGCAGCAGTAGAGCCAAGAGACCAGCAAAAGACAGTGACAGCCTTACCAGCCCAGGGAGGAGAAAGCTGGATGCCACTGGGTAGGCATCTTCCTGGTGGAGTAGGTTGCCTTTGGGCATTAACTGGTAGAAGAGACCGGCCTGAAATGTAGTAGCAGGGTGGCTGGCCCACAGAGCAAGAAAGCTGAGTGTTTTGGGGCATGAAGATTCCTGGCAGAGTGGGTTGCCTTTAGCATTAATCAGCAGGAGTGGAGAGACCAAGGAAATGGGAAACAGAGCTGCCTCAGCCTCAAAGGGTAGGACCATAGCCTCTGGGGGTGGAACCACCACAGCCCTCTAGGTTTCAAAGAATCAAATCTTCACCAACTTGGTTCTGGAGTGTGGGGCTGCTCATTCATGTGGGCCAGTGGGATGAGGCCATAGTTACTGCCCAAAAGTGAGGGGGCAGGGCTGCCATGCTTAAGAGGTAGAGGAACAGGGCCAGGCCAAGGGGGGTGATGTCACTACTCAGATGAACTAGGGGATTGTAGCCACCCAGTGAAGGAGATCTATACAGGTGGCAAGTTGACAAAGAGTGGAATTGTGGTAGATAAGGTTATGTGTCCTTAACTTGGCTGGGTCTGGTTTTGAGTGCCTGGGCAGCTGGATGTAGTTATTCTCATTATGATACTAATAATCAGTTCCATGGTGGAATCTACTATGAGCAGCTGAGTAGCTGCCTTAGGGATGTGATCTGCTCCCAGTAAATAAGAAGCTTTAGGAATGATCTATAGCTTTTAGCACACTTGAATCCTGCATGTAGCCGAGTTGTTATTCAGCAGCCTGCCATGTTGTCTGCTGATCTTGGGACTCTTAATAGACTTGAATCAGTGGCTTGCCATGTGATTTGGTAATATTGGGACTGTGCCATTTCATTTATCAGCCTTGGGTTTGTTAGCCTCAGCAGCCAGGAGTGGCTTGAGAGCAGAAAGCCTCCAGCTTCAGTGGGCTGGGAGCAAGAGACAGAACTGAAGTCCAAGGTTGAGGGTCTTTCACCAAGCCCCTAGAGCCTGGCACTTTGGACTTGAACTTTTAGCCTCTAAAAGTATAACAAAATAAAGCCTTGTTTGATAAGACCACCCATTTGTGGTATTTCCTGTTAGAATGGCACAAAGTAACCAAAACAGTAGACATGCTTGGATGATGTAGTGATGGATTAAAAGTGCTTGCAAGAGATAAATGAGACAGAGAAAGAAATGGCAAAGTTGACTACTAAGTTTTTGGCATGAGTAATTGGGTGGATGGAAAGTTATCTATGCATATGGGAACTATCAGAAAAACTGACTTGGGGAGAACATCAGAGGGTTTGGTTCGAGATAAGAAAAGATAGAGATTTTTGTGAAATATTCAAAAAGATATTTCCAAGAGGACACTGAATATCTAAGGATCAAGGTTAGTTATAGATTTGGGAACTGTTATCATTCAGATAGCAGATAAAGTCATTGGAATGTGTAACATTACATAGGGTTTAGAGTGCAAGTTAACAGAAGAAGAGAATCTTGTAATAGACACTAGTTAGAGTAAAGGAGAAATGGCAAAGAAAAGCAAAGTGGGTCAAAGAAGCATGAAGAAAACCAAAATGGTGCATTATCACGAGCAATAAGAAGAAAAGTTTTCAAAGAAGAGAAAATAAAAATCTGTATCATTGTTTAAGGAGCCCTGGTGGCTCAGTGGTTAAAGAGCTCTAGCTGCTAATCAAAACTTCAGTGATTCAAGCCCACCAGCCACTCTGCAGGAGAAAAGATGTGGCCGTCAGCTTCCATAAAGATTTACAGCCTTGGGAACTCTATGGGGCAGTTCTACTCTGTTCTCATAGGGTCACTATGAGTTAGCAATGAGTTAACAATATTATTAAGTAATGAGTTAACAATATTATTAAGAGTTCTGGTTAGGACAGAGACTAAAAAGTATCCAGTGAATTTGACAACATAGAGGTCAGTGATGTCTGAGCAAAAACAATTTGGCTCATGAGTTAAAAACAAATGTCTGAGTGAATGAAGATGGAAGAGTAAATGAAATAATTCCATTTAAACATATGATTAATCACAAATAAAGCATTCCTCTTTAGTCCATGATCTGCCATTCTAATTATTTATAATGTAAACTATAGGAAATACAAATAAGTCTAAATCAGTAGAGCATATATTAAGAAGCAGAAAGTGCACAACTTACCATCTCTGAACTAGAACTGAAACAACTGTCTGTTTGCCTTGGAGAGTAAGTAGACTGAGTGCTCTGTGAAGAATCAAAGTCTGAAAATAAAGATTAATTCATGAAGAAAAGTATTTATTAATACTCTATAAAATATACATAGTTACAAGATCTCTACTGATAAGGTTAGCTAACATATCACGCAGTGTTCTAAAATGTTCAATACATGGTAGGTTGGGTTTCTGACAGGATGTATGGGCTGATTCTACACTTAAAAGATTAGTTTCTATAAGTAAAATAAGAGTACATAGCATAAGCAAGGAGTCCCTGAGTGGTGCAAATAGTTAATATACCCTGCTGGGTATATCCAAAAGGTTGGAAGCTTGAATCCACCCAGAAGTGCCTCAAAAGAAGGTCTTGATGATCCACTTCTGAAAAAACAACAGCCATTGAAAACCCTGTGGAGCACAGTTCTACTGTGCCACGTAGAGAGTTACCATAAATTGAAATTGACTCAACAGCAACTGGCAAATAGGTATCATAAGCAAAAAAATGAGAATAGAGAAATCATGATGGATTTTTTGCCAATATATGAACCATGTGTGTGTGTGTGTGTGTGTGTGTGAACAAACAATTGAAAGTGTCAACCTGTAAAAAAGAAGAAATAAACCAAGTTATTAATTCCTGAGGCATAAGTTACTTGCTCATCTAGTAATTGTGCAATCACAACTATGAAAAAAATTGTTTCAAAACATCCAATGTGTTATTCTTTCATTAGTTTCTTAATTTGTTATCTTATGGTTGTAAGTAAGCTTTGAAATAGGTCTGGGAAGTAGGTTATGACTCCTACTAACGCATAAATACTATAGATCAACAATAGTTTCAATGCGCCTGCTTCCTTGTTTATGAGAATGGATTTGCTATAAAAAAAAAAGTAATAGAAACTGAATATAATCACATATCAAAACACAAGCTCTCCTATAAGCAATGAAACATGAGTACCTGTACTCATGTTTATTCATGCCTCAGGTCAGGGCTGATGCTCTCTGTAATATAAACTAAATGTTAACCAGCTGAGAGGCAGAGAGAACTTAGCTGAACTCAGATACTCAGCATTCCAAAAGGAAATTTATATCCCCATGAAGCGTTCTCCAAAACCACTAAAAGGAGAGTACAGAAAAGTGAAAGCCTGGATTTTATTATTAATAGCCAATAACATAATCTAAGGCCATTTCCCTCCAATAAGGTCCATAAACCAAAAAAAAAAAAAAAACTCACTGCCATCAAGTCAATTTTAACTCATAGGGTCCTTTGGGTTTCCAAGGCAGAAATCTTTACAGAAGTATATTGCCCAGTCTTCCTTGTGCAGAGTGGCTAGTGGGCTTGAACCACTAACCTTCTGGTTAGCAGTCAAATACCTTAGGCACTACACCACCAGAGCTCCTTAATAAGGTTCATAGGTACAGCAAATCCAAAGTCATTAATAGTAAGAAAAATGTCAGTTGAATGAATGTCTTATGTCTCAAAGTGCAGAAAAACATATACTGTGGGGAACATAAATTCAGTAATAAAGAAAGACACACATATAAAACAGTCACAAAACAACATACAACAATAGACATCACAGAAGGTACAAAACTAGTAGTGAGCTAAGGAAAAGGGGAATTTGGTACTTATTTATAAAGAAAAGAATATAGAGAGTAGATTTTGAATGACAAGTAAACATTCTCAAGAGAGACAAGATGGAAAATACCACATGGGACAGATGGAAAAGAATGTGCAAGAGGGTACCTTAACATTAAAGGAATGTGCATTTTAGACTGTCCATGAAGGCATCTATATTAAACTCAACTCACTGCCATTGAGTGGATCTGACTCATAGTGACCCCTCCTTAGGTTTCCAAGGCAGCATCACTACGGAAGTAGATTGCCCAATCTTTCTTCCAAGGAGTGGCTGGTGTGTTTGAACAGCCAGCCTTCTGGTTAGCAGTCAAATGCCTTAGCACTATACCACCAGAGCTCCCACAGCATCTATCTTTGGCTAGATTAAAGAAGGCAAGATTGGAGAAAGCAGGATAGTTAAAAGATTACCTCAGTAATCTATATATGAAGTGATGAAGATCTGCAATAAAGCATTGAAATTAGGATTCAGAAAAGACAAGAGATTCAAGTTTCAAGAAAGCTTTCAAATAACCTCAGTTTTTACATGTATATAGCTTTAAAATCAGACTAATTTACGTATTTTAATGTCCATTCAGTCATTCCTTTATTCAACAAATATTTTTTAAGATAGAGAAAAAAAATGAATTTAAAATTTTAACACCTATCTTTTAAAAATTTATAATGAAGACTTCTAACTCAAAATAGAATACATTATTTTATCTTCTACCCTATTCTTCTAAGTCTCCATTAGAAAGACTGTAGAGGTAGAAAACATACACACAAAAACAAACCAAAACAATAAAAAGCCTGAGAGAGAGACTACTATGTTATATAGGAAAGAAAGATGATGAAGGGTTGTTGCTGATTATACATAGCAGGAGATACTGAAACTGGAGTATGAAGTGAGAAAGGTGTTCCCTAGAATCCTAGAGAATTTCTGAACTTGGACGGCAAGTATCTTCAAGGATAGGAGCGAGAAGCAGGACTGAAATTTAGAGGAGTGACAGAAGATCTACATGAGGAACAAATAATATCCAAACTTTCTGTGCTATTTCAAAATAATGAATATACAACAAGCTGATCTTTCAATCCCTCATTGTATATATTATTTTTCAAATGAGAGACTTTTTCCTTAAAGACTTTGAGCAAACTTCCAGGAAACCTAAGGAAGCTAGTATAGTCACTAGTGACCCAGAGGTCAAAGTAAATTCCACAACATTCTGGCATGTCAGGGAGTTGCAATATAATAAACTAATGGCCAACTCTTGGCACCTCACTCTCACATAATGTGTCATGTTATGAAAAACAATGTTAACATTCACACATCTCGCAGTCAACTTCTTTATTTACTCATTCTTAAATATAAACCAGCAACCAAATTATCAACAGGAATTTGAAAAAAAAAAACAGACAAAAGTTGAGTAATGGAGGAAAACTCTTTAAAAAAAAACACTAGTTCATATCCTTAAGAAAATACTAAAACATGAAACATGAGAAAGATACAGTAAAATAAGAATAATGAGAGATTAAGAAGGGTTTAAATAAACACTAGCACATTTATGTAGATAAAGCAAACATTTGAGATGTAGTAACACAAATGAACAAAGTTGAGGACACATTACTGACACAGGATAAAAGATTTAATTATGGTTTACTGAATTTAATTATCTAATAACCATTGTATAACACAACATGCTTGGCACTATTCTAAACACATTATATATAGTAACTTACTTAAACTCTCCCCAAATAAGTACAGTTAAGAAAATTCCTTTTACAGTTAAGAAAATTAAGGCAAAGAGAGGTTGAGTAACTTGCACAAGGTTTGTTCCATAGTTAGTAAGTGGTGGAGCTGGGATTTGAGCCAGGTAATCAGATTCCAAAGCTCATGTGCTTAAACCACTTTACTATGCTGCATTTTCAGAACATAAGCTTAGCAATGTAAAAATAATGATGTATTAAAATCAAGTTAGAAAGAGAATGGGAAAAGAAAGAGTAAAATATGCCTAGATTTGTTATTTAAAGTTACAAATACAAGGAGTACATAAGCAAACAAAAGAAAGCAATATACTTATATTGGGTAAAGAGGGGAGGACATATGGGGGGCATAAGAAAGCTAAATGTTCACTAATTATACCAACAAGTCTATGCATAAAGTTAATAAATCAGGAAATAATAGTATTATATACTGTTTAGACAGAAAGTTATAAATACAAGATAAACTAAAATCAGGAACCATTAAACTTTGGGTACCTCTGAAGGATGGAATAGGGGTGGAGTGGGACGGACTAAGTTACTACTGCTTTTCATTTAATTCCTTCTGTATTATGTTTTCAATTGTATACATGTATTATTTTGATAACAATGTTTACAATATTTTTATTTTACAAATATTAATATTTTTTACAACAGTCAGCTAAGATTTGGCAACCATTAATTTTGAGTCCATTAGCCATGAGTGGTTCAGTGGTAGAATTCTTGCCTTCCTTGCCAGAGTTTCAGGTACAGTTCTAGGTCAAGCACCTCATGCACAGACACTACACTTGTCTGTCAGTGGAGACTTGCAGGTTGCTATGATGCTGAACAGGTTTCAGCAGAGCTTCCAGATTAACAATGACTAGGAAAAAGCCTGAAGAACTACTTCCAAAAATCAGCCAATGAAAACTGAATGAACACAATGGTTTGATTTTCAACCAATCATCACCTTGTCATAGGACTGGGCTGTGTTTTGTTCCATTGTGCGTGGGGTTGCCATAAGTTGTGGGTGACTCCACAGCAGCTAACAACAACAATTTTGGGTCTAAAGATTCCATTCTTGGAGTAGGATGGGAAAAGTAAAGTGTTTCTTTTATTTAGTCCTACCTCGACCAATAAGTAATAACTGAGAATATTCTCAAGTACTCCCTGGGCGTATTCCCAGGTTTCATCTTCCAAGTACTAATACCCAATAAGAGCACAGGAGGGAAGGAATATGATTAGTATGCCACTGGTTTATATGAAATTTTTTCTAAAAAAAAAATAGGAGAGGCGGGGCAAGATGGCGGACTAGGCAGAAGGATTGCACAGACCCTCTTCAACAAAGAAAAG